GAGTGGCATCGGGTGCGGCAGGCGCGTGCCGCGGCGACGTGGGCGCTGGCTTCCGACACCGCGCGGACCGCTCCGCCTGGGACGCTCGTGGCGCTCCGATCAGTACAGCGGAGGCCCATGCCAAGAAGCACCCTGCTTGCCTCCAGGGTGCCCTGGGATTCTTGGGTTTCGATGGTCTTGCGATGGAAAGCGTGACGTTCCCACACCCCAAATCAATGCACGTCCTGGGGTCTCAGGGTTGGGTTTCTTGTGCAAGGTTTCCTGTGGTCGGGCCCCTACTGTAGCACGGGACGCTCGATGACCGGCCGACTCTGGTCCACTGGCGGCATTCAACACGTAAGGCTCGCGCTACAGTAGGGGCCCGACCACAGGACACCTTGCACAAGAAACCCAACCCTGAGACCCCAGGACGTCCATTGATTTCTGGTGTGGGAACGTCACGCTTTCCATCGCAAGACCATCGAAACAAAAGAAATCATGGGCACCCTGGAGGCAAGCAGGGTGCTTCTTGGCATGGGTCTCCACGGTAGGGTCGCCGCCGTATGGACACGACGCGGACCCGCCGTACTGGCTGGGGGGCCAGCATCCACCAATATCGCGCTCCAGAAGGGGCTTTTGGAGGCTCGACGACTCGGAGGCGGCAGTGGGGGTCTGCGCAGGATGGGCACCAGCAAAACCGGTCAGGCGGGGAAGGGCGCAAGTTTGGCACACGATGCCCACCCAGAGAGGGCGGCTCAGAGGAGACCAGGGGACTCTGCATCCAAAGGTTACCTCTGCACCTCCAGCGGGTGGAACCAGCAATGCCCTACCTCAGCCCGCTAGCTGACTCCACGGCTCAGTAGTGGATACTTCCACTCTCCCAGGTCCGAGCCTCTGTCTGAGCATCCGCCACCGCTGAACCGAAGCAGGATTCTTTCAGTTTTCATTGTATACTAGATACGATTCCAAGTGAGGACCCCAAAGAGTAATTCCCAAAACAGTGCTTGCACTTAGGGATTCTTACTTCTTTTCAAATAGTTTCTGAGGAACTGGGCCTGCCCGTCGGTCTGGTGGCTATGTGGTCGCCGTCGCCGCCTCGTCGCCGCCCGTCTTCTGGGCCTGCCCGTCGGTCTGGCGGCTATGTGGTCGCCGTCGCCGCCCCGTCGCTCCAGGCCCGCCCGTCGGTCTGGCAGGTCGCCGCCCCGTCGCCGTCTGGGCCTGCGTTACTTGGCATTGCGTTGCGTTACTTCGCATCGCGTTGCATTCTGCATTGCTTTATGTGCGTGGCTTTGCACTGGTTTACGTTGATGTGCATTCTTTTGCATTGATTTGCATCGAAGTGCCTTGCTTTGCATTGCTTTGCTTTGCACTGCTTGCATTGCTTTGCATTGCTTTGCGCTGCACTGCCTTACTTTGCATTGTTTTGCATTGCGTTGCACTGCATTGCATGGCTGTGCACTCTTGCGTTGCTTTGCACCACATATGTTGAAACAAATGGATTGCACCACTTAGATTGGCCCACACTGATTGCACCGCATAGAATGCACTGCATCTATTGCACGAAATGACTGTTTGAGTCCAAGCTAACTAACGTGTCTTCAGTAGGTGTGTAATCTACGCGGTGCAAGCCACGTTGTATAACTAGGTGGGGCAATATACGTGGTGAAAGCTGCGTAGTACAAGCTGTGTGGTGCAAGGTATATGGTGCAAGCTATGTGATTTCAGATATGTATTGCAGTCTACGTGGTGCGAGCTATGTGGTGCAAGCTACGTGGAGCAAGCTGCGTGGTGCAAGCTATGTGGCGCACGCTATGTGGTGTAAGATACGTGGTGGCAGCTATATGGTGCAAGTTACGTGGTGCAACGTGCAAGCTATGCGGTGCAAGCTATGTGGTGCAAGCCGAGCGGTTCAAGATATGTCGTGTAAGCTCTATAAAAGATATGGTAAGCGCTGTGTGCGGGGCCAGCCATGTGGCGCAGTCTATGTGCCGCAGGCCAATTGGTGACCACTGCGTGGGAAAAGCTCTGTGGCACAGCCCATGTGATGCCGGCTGCGTGGTGCAGCCCATATGCTGCAGGCTGCGTGGCTCGAGCTGTGCGACCGCCAGCGGCGTGAGCCAGGGGCGGCCACGGTCCGGCACCCAGGAAACCTCGGCACGCCCACCCCGCGCCTCGGGGGCACCCGCGCGGTGCCCCACGAGGCGGGCACCCAGGCGAGACCTCGGCACAGTCACCCCAGCGTTCGGGGCGCCCCCGAGGCGCCCACGAGGCGGGGGGCACCAGGCGAGACCTCGGCACAGCCACCTCAGCGTTCGGGGCACCCGCGAGGTGCCCCACGAGGCGGGCACCGGGCGAGACCTCGCTATACCACCCCAGCGTGGGGCGCCCACGAGGCGGGCCCCCTGGCGAGCACGGCACAACCCCCCAGCGCGGGGCGCCCACGACTGGCCCACGGGCGCCCACCAACGGGGCTCTGGCCGACACCTTGGCATACCCATCAAAGTCCCCGATCATCCTGGCAAGAACCCCTTTGCTGAAGCACCGGTTGGGGAACACATATATATATATATATGTATATAATGTACATGTATACATACATCTACAAATACATATGCATATACGTATACATCTACATATACATATACGTATACATATACATATACATATACATATACACATACATATACATATACATATACATATACATATACGTATACACATACACATACATATACATGTACATATACATATGCATATACATATACATATACATATACATATACATATACATATGCATATACATATATATATATATATATATATACATATACATGTACATATACATATCCATTTGCATATACATATACATATACATATACATGTACGTAAACAAATACATATACATATACATATACATATACATATACATATAGATATACAAATACATAAACATATACATAGCCGTATACATATACATATACATACACATACACATATACACATACATGTATATATACATATACAAATTCATATACATATACATATACATATACATATACATAACAATGTACCTATCCAAATACATATACATATACATACACAAATACGTATACATATACACATACATCTACACATACCTCTACACATACGTATACATCGTCATATACATATACAAGTACATATAAATATACATATACATATACATATACATATACATATACATATACATATACATACACATCTACATATACATATACATATACATATACATATACATATACATGTACACACAAATATACAAAGGCATATACATATATATATATATATATATATATATATATATATATATACATATGCATGTACATGCACATAAACATATACACGCACATACATATATAATACCATTTACCCGCCGGCCATCCTTGCGGGGGGCTACAGGCTGCGAGGGTCAGATTTCGAGCACGCAGGTATCAGTTCCCAGCTCCTCGGTTCAGGTGCCAGTCCTCGGCTCCTCGGTTCCAGGTCTCTGATTTACTAATCATGGCTCCTCGCTCCGAGGTTGAGATACTGCAGAAGACACGACACTCCCTGGGCCACAGGGGCGTTGCACCAACGCCAGGCCGCATTCCCTCTGGATCTGGTGCCTCCTCGAACACGTAAGCTCTTTCAACAAAATGTCATCCCTGGCCACGATCCTCGCACATTGACAACGGATGCGCGCTCCGCAGACCGCGATCCCTTAGTCATTTTCCAAGTGAGCGGTCCAGAGGCCTCATCACGAGTAAGTCAGGACGAATGGGCGTTTCCGAGGCCACGATCCTTCTCACGATTTGAAGCGGATGCGCGCTCCGGAGGCCGCAATGCCTGTGTAATGTTCAACAAGTGCGCGCTCCCGAGGCCACAAACCCAAGTATATCACGACGGACGTGCGTCCACGAGGCCACAGTCCCTAGTGACCTACTACGGATGCGCGCTCCCGAGGCCACCCTAGTAAATTAGTGCAGATGCGCGCTCCTGAAGCTACAATTCTTTGTGAATCACGTAGCGGCGCGCTCCCGAGGCCAACATCTTGCGTTCCGCTTCAGTTCGTGTCTTGCAATATCCGAAGACGGCCAAAAAGTACACGACAAGCCTTGAACTGTTCTTTTCTCCACAGTGATGCCTTCTCTTCCTCGGTTCGATCATCACTGTTGTCCTCCTTCCCCTTACCCTCCTCCTCTTCTTCCTCCTCTGTGTGGTGTCCTTTCCTCCTCGCATGTATCCCCTATCTACTGCCCCCCATACACAAACTAGCCCTGACCCAGCACAGAACGTACGAAAACAAACGCTGAACTCACCAGACTGCATACAGTGGGGGCCCGACCACAAGAAACCTTCCACAAGAAACCCAACCCTGAGGCCCCAGGACGTCCATTGATTTTTGGTGTGGGAACGACACGCTTTCCATCACAAAACCATGGAAACCCTAGAAACCCAGGGCACCCTGGAGGCAAGCAGGGTGTTTCTTGGCATGGATCTCCACTGTACTGTCAAGACCAGAGCCAGCCGCGCAGGCCATCGGAGGGGGGAGCGGCGCCAGAGGGCTAAACCTCTCAGGTACCAACAGACAGACAGCCTAAGGTGACGAAGCAACACCTCCTCCTCCTCCTCCTTCTCCTCCTCCTCCTGATCCATAACGTCTTCTGGGCCATCAGCCTCCACGTCCACGCTGGCGCCGACAGCACCGCCGTCACTGCCGCCGCTTCCCGCGCCGGCGCCAGCGTCGGGGGTCACCACCGTCACTGTCGCCATCGCCACTGCCGCAGGTCACAGCTGGCACCGTGTCCAGTAAGCTCCATGATCGCTGCCGCCCCGTCCCTCGCCGCCGTGGTGTTGCCCGCCGCCGCTGCCGTTCGCACGCCCTGCTCTCGCAGACGCGGGACCCGCTTGGCCCCGGGGGCCACCCTCTGCCGCTGCTTTGCCCCGTCGCCGCGGCGTCAGCCAGTATCAAACGCCCTGTGCCAGCACCACAGCCATAGCCATCACAGTGGCAGCCGCAGGCCCCCCGCTGCCGCGAGTGCCACTGCCCCCAGCATCACGGTCGCGATCGCAGTGCCGCTGCCGTCAGCGCCGCAGAATTTCGGCAGTCGGCACCGACCCCACAGAAACCCGAGCTCTCGCGCGTGCTCTCCAGACCTCCTGGGCGCGCCGGGCCTGCCCGTGGGGCCGTCACTGCCCCGACCCGTGTCCCGAAGCGGCCCCTTACCAGGTTACCTGCCGCCGAGACTAGCAGCACCGGGTGACGGCGCCCCCGCAGGCGGGCCTTGTGACCTCGGACATCGCCCGCGCAGCTCTGCGCAGCCCAGATGCGTGCGCTCGCGCCGCGGCAGCCAGCTGCAGGGCCGCGGCCTTGCCTCATGGGCGGGAGGGGGGAATGCGGGGATTGCGCGGTGATTGCTGCTCGTCCTCCGCCACCTTTCCCTCCTTCCTCCTCCTCCTCCTCCTCCTCCACCTCCTCCTCCTCCTCCTCCTCCTCCTCCTCCTCCTCCTCCTCCTCCTCCTCCTCCTCCTCCTCCTTCCTCCTCCTCCTCCTCCTCCTCCTCCTCCTCCTCCTCCTCCTCCTCCTCCTCCTCCTCCTCCTCCTCCTCCTCCTCCTCCTCCTCCTCCTCCTCCCCGTCTTCTCTGCATCCCTCTTCCTTATGGAGGACTCATCCTCCTCCTCCTCCTTCTCCTCCTCTTCCTCCTCCTCCTCCTCCTCCTCCTCCTCCTCCTTGTCGGTAGGGCGGGCCAAGCGTTTCGCCGAAGACTTTCTCACCATTTGTGGCACTGAACGATGTAAGCGCAGCCACTACACGGGCAGAGGGGGGGCTGTTTGCAATATGGAGCTCCCGCCCTGGTGCCACGTACAGTCGGCGTAAAAGCTTGCAACTGCTACACATATGGATGGAGGGGTGATTTCCAACATGGGTATCTTGCCTCAGCGTCGAACACACTCGCACTACAAGTTTGTATCAAATACAAAGATGGAGGTGGGTCGTTTTCAAAATGGAGTTTTCGCCTCAGCGCTGGGCACATGTGCCTGAAAAGCCTGCAACTGGTATGAGGGCGGATGGGGCCAGCTTCAACATGGAGCAATCGCGTAAGCGACGCTCATATTCGCTATATGTTAGCCAGCGTGGACCTCAAGCAGTGTGTTTCTAGCAACTTATGTGGTGCATTTTATGTGGTGCGATCGATGTAACGCCGTAGATGCTGTGCAGATGCAATTCAATGTCTGTCGTGCAGTCCATGTGGTTCAGTATGTGCGGCTCCATTTATGCTGCGTAATCTATATGGTGCAGTCTAAGTTGTGCGATCTATGCGCTGAAATCTACGCTGTGCAATCTACGTGGTGCAATCTACGTGGTGCCATCTACGAGGTGCAATTAATCTTGACCGTCTTGAAGCTGTCCTCTCCACTGCTCGTGCAAACATCCCACCCTCCCACCCGCAACTTGGTCGCAAGACCTCTTCAGACAAGACCGTGACGGTAGGTACCACATGGCACTTGGCCACGACACCGATGCCGACGACGACAGCGACATCGACGACGGCGGCGCCGCCGACAGCGACTGCGACGACACCGACGACGTCTCCAATGTTTTCGACGGCGACAACGACGACGACGACACCGACGACGACGACAACGACGCCGACGACGACGACGAAGACGACGACGACGTCGCCAACGGAGACGACGACGAGGGAGGAGAAAAAACGACGACGGCGACAACGACGACAACGACGATGGAGGAGGGAAGACGTCGACGACGCCAACGACGAGAAGGAGGAAGGACGGCGACGCCGACGACGACAATGACGAGGGAGGAGGGAAGACGACGACGATGACAACGACGACGAAGACGACGACGACGGCGACGAAATGAAAGGACGACGACGAGACGCCGACGACGGACGACGACGACGAGGGAGGAGGATAACGACGAGGGAGGAGTGAAGACCACGACGACGACGACGACGACGACGGCGACGAAATAGGAGGGACAACGACGAGACGCCGACGAAAGACAACGAGGGAGGAAGGACGACCACGGCGACAACGACGACGGAAACGACGACGACGCCAAGACGACGACAACGACGACGAGGAAAGACAGAAGACGACGACGGCGACGACGACGACGACAACGAGGGAGGAGGGAGGACGACGACGACGACGCAAGAGCGCGCGCGCACGCTTTTGTTGAAAATCCGTGTTGCGAAACCTTGGGTTCTTGTAGGAAGTTTTGGACGCACGATTTTGAAATCCTTCCGAAACAGATGGTCTTTGAAGGATTTCGGCATACGCCCGCGACGACGCGCGAGTCTGCACTTCGTCCCATTTTTTGCAGAGGATCTCGCGAAGGCACACGCGCAAGGGCGTTCGACAGATTTCGACATGCGCGCGCGCGAAGCCCGTTTGGTAGCATTTTGTGAAAATCTTGGAAAACCGATGGTTTTCTTAAGATTTCGCAAGAGCTCGCGCGGAAGTTTTTTTAGCAAATCAGTGTTGCGAAACCATGTGTTTTTGTATGTTTTTCGGAAACTCGATTGCGAAATCCTTCCGGCACCGAAGGTTTTTGAAGGATTTCGGCATGCGCGCGCGACGACGCGCGCGTGTGCACTTCGTCCCATTTTTTGCAAGGGATTCGTGAAAAGTGTTATGTTAGAACAAAAAATGTCACCGCATAGTGTTTTTTACAAGGGAACCGCAGGGGGGGGATACCGGCTTGGCTGGGATAGTATGAATTCATATTTAGGATGGACATGTGGTCAGAATCATATGTAATTTACAGCACGCGCGGGGGTCCCGATAAGTCCGGGGGGGGGGGGTAGAATCTATTAGTCTTTCAGAAAGGAGAATCAAATTTCTGTTCGCAGTGAGTTGTCCACTCCACTGCTCGCGCAAACATCCCACCCACCCACCCGCAACTTGGTTTGCAAAATCTCTTAAGACCGTGACGGTGGGTATCAAATGGCACTTGGCAACAACAGCGACGCCGACGACGACAGCGACAACGACGACGACGACAACGACTACGACGACACCGACGACGCCTCCAACGACTTCGACGACGCCGACAACGACGACGACGACGACGACGACGACGACGACGACGACGACCTCGACGACGACGACGACGACGCCGACGCCGACGACGACGACGACGATGACGACGCCGACGACGACGATGACGACGACACCGACGACGACGACGACGTCAACGACGCCGACGACGACGACGATGACGACGACGGCGGCGACGACGACGACGCCGACGTCGACGACGACGAAGACGACAACCGACGCGACGCCGACGACGACACGCGAAGACGACGACGACGTCGCCAACGAAGACGACGAGGGAGGAGGAAGGACGACGACGGCGACAACGACGACAACGACGACAACGACGAGGGAGGAGGGAGGACGGCGACGACGCGAACGACGAAGAAAGAGGGAAGGACGGCGACGCCGACGACGGCAACGACGAGTGGAGGAGGGAAGACGACGACGACAACGACGACAACGACGACGACGACGACGACGACGACGACGACACGACGACGACGACGACGGCGACGAAATAGGAGGGACGACGACGAGACGCCGACGACGGACGACGACGACGACGAGGGAGGAGGAGGAAGGACGACCACGGCGACAACGACGACGGAAACGACCACGACGCCAAAGAGGACGACGACGACGAACACGAGGAAAGACAGAGGACGACGTAGGCGACGACGACGACGACGACGCGGGAGGAGGGAGGACGGCGACGACGACGACGACGACGACGACGACGCAAGAGCGCGCGCGCACGCTTTTGTTGAAAATCCGTGTTGCGAAACCTTGTGGTTTTGTAGGTTTTTCGGACACACGATTTTGAAATCCTTCCGAAACCGATGGGTGTTTGAAGGTTTTCGGTATACGCGCGGGCACCTGGGCGTGCAGCGAAAATCGGCGACAAACCTAACCTAACCATATGAATCCGCTTGGACCCCTACAGGGGCAAGCTCTGACTCGGGAACACCATCCTAATTGGATTATACGAAGATCCCAGCAGGAACGCACTTGGAGTCAGCTGAAGCTGGGATCTGCTCATTTATAATCAGATTGCTCTGGATCTGAGATCAACTCTAGTTCGCGTCTAGTTCGACTCCAACAAGGATTAAAATTGAAGAAGCTAGATCTGGGATCTGTTTCATGCCCCTTAGAAAATGATTAAAAACGAACAGGGAGCCAATTGGAAGCAGGGGGCGGGGCTGCACGCACGCCCATGAATATATACAGATACAGAAAGAGAGAGAGAGAGAGAGAGAGAGAGAGAGAGATATGCATATGTGCACATGTACACCTCTGATAACAAACAACAAGCCAAAATCCTTACAGGTCTCTGTATATAAAACTAAATAAACATATATATATATGTGAAGATATACATGTATTTAAACGGGACAACAAAAACGGCAGCGCACAACAAGTATGACGAGTACGCGGGTAAGGGGGGGTGCTCAAGTCTGCCCTATGCATGGGGGCTCAGCCTGCTATCTCACGCTCACATGGCGAGACAACCGATTGGGTGGGAACCACACTGAGAAAATTGCACGTGCAGCTTGAGTCGTGCAGCATGTGGGGCGCACCCCATGTGGTGCAGCAGATGTCGTGGGATGTCTAAGGTGCGACCTATGTTGTGCTATCCACGATGTCGTGCAGCCTGTGGGCCGCAAGCTGTGTGGCGCAGCGTCCGTCGCGCCAGATGTGTCGTGCACTTGCTGCCAGAAATCCGCCAGCGGCAGCCGCCGCACACGAGAGGCGGTGCGCGAGGCGACACGGGCGGCGACGACCCGAGAACGCCTGGAGGGCCAGGCAGTGCACGAGGCGGCCACGAGGCGAGCACAGATGGCGACCGATTGGCTTCATTCGGGCCTGCCCCTGAGCAGGAGGAGTATTCAAAAGAGTCTGAAACTAATCGCAGAGGACGATGTGCTGGATAGTTCTTGGCTCTGTTTGGATACTTTTGGGGGGTATTGCATATGTTTCGTCCAAAATCCGCCTGCAGGGGAACATGCCCCACCTAACGATAGATAAAACTCGCGAACGTTTCCTTACTCGGCATTTCGACAGTGGGCGGAAGGGGGGGGGAGGCGGGGGGGTCAGGCTCCGAACCTCTGCTTAGTGCGACTGTTTGCAACCGTGCGTCCTACGGTGGGAGACTCCACCTGCTCGAAACAGACGCCTAAAACAGCCGAGATCTACTCCATAGGGGGGAGGGGAGGGGAGGGGTGCGAGGGCCCGCGCCGATCGGCAAAACAAGGAATAAAAAAACGATCACCTCGGGAAACCTGGCCGTTCGCTTGGAAGCAAAATGAGAGCCCCCAGTGCAAGCACTGTCTGGTGAAGAGTGACAAGCCATGATCTACCAGAGCCAGGCAGAAGCCTGTGGCGACCGATGGACAAAACTCGGGAAACCCGGCCGCTCGCTTGGAAGCGAAACGAAGACCCCTAGTGCAAGCACTGCCCGATGAGGATTGGCAAGCTATGATCTCCAAGAGTCGGGCAGAAGCCTGTTTTGGCATGATTCTCGCTGGGGGGGCAAACCTACTCAAGCCTGCCCAAGGACTCGCGGTGATTAATACCTGGCGGAGACGACAGAAGCTATCGATGAGAAGTGGGAGTTCACATAACCTGGCAAGAAATTGCTTGCTTGCTCGATACACCCTGCAGTAACCGTCCGTTGCACAATTGGAAGCAGCTCTGAGAAAGAAAGCCAATGAAACATAAACAGGAAGCCGCTCTCGAAAACGCCGCCCGAGGCATACAAGCCCAGCATCCCCCCCAAAGGGTGCCAGCCCAGCGCAGCTCCAGCATCCCCCCATGTCCCAGCAGGGCTGCACTGAATCCCACTTCTGTTAGGTTGGGCATGTCATCCTGAAGGCGGACCCTGGAGGCACAATAAAGAATATCCCAAAAATGCTCCAGAATAGTCGGAGAAATTCAAGGAATCGTCCCCTGGCGATGTTTTGACTACTTTGAACACTCCTCCCGTTAGAGGGACAGGCCCGAGGGAACACTTCTGCCCCGTGCGGCTCGGAAGGGGGGGGCAGCGAAGGCCGGAGGCGAGAGAGAGAGAGAGAGAGACGGAGCGAATCGCGCCCGATCCGAAGCTTGACGCGAGCTCCCTGGAACTCTGGAACTCTCCGACGGCTGTCCCGTGCAAGCACAGTAAGCTGGGTGATAGCATCGCCATGGCAAGGCGATATGCGCTGCGACTCCCTCCCCGCTGATCTTACCGTGGCCCTCTGACCCCCTCCCCCGATTGAGCCTTGGCCTTGCTGGACGAATTGGCCAGCAGCACGATTAGGTGCATGGGGAGGTGTGGTGGCGAGGTAGGCTGCTGACTGGACCGTCAAAATCCAGGACGAAACATCCCACGAAAAACATCCCACGAAACATCCCACGAAAACTGGACCGTCAAGATCCCACGAAGAACATCCCACGAAAACATCCCACGAAAGACATCCCACGAAGAACATCCCACGAAAAACATCCCACGAAAACGTCCCACGAAAACATCCCGCTGCAAACATCCCACGAAAACTGGACCCTCAAAATCCAGGACGGGCTCGTCAAAAAACGCTGGCAAACCCGAGCTCCGGCTTGCTCGAGTCTTACGCTTCCCCGACTTAGGTCGGGCATGTCCTCCTCCAGGCGGATTTGGGAGGAGACATACAAAAGTAATCAAACATAATCTTAAAAAAAGTCGTTCCCAGTCTATTTTGTGACTCCTTTTGAATACTACTCCTGTAGAGGGACATGCCCGACTCAACACTGGGCAAGAGGAGCAGCAGCGGCGCCGGCACCGAGGAGCAGCGAGGAGCAGCGAGGAGCAGCGGCAGGCGGAGGACGAGCGCGGAGAGAGAGCACGACCCCAGCCCCCGCTGAACCGGAGCACAGCGGGCCCTACATCTGACCCGTATCATGAGGGCGCGCGATACAGTGGGGGCCCGACCACAAGAAACCTTCCACAAGAAACCCAACCCTGAGACCCCAGGACGTCCATTGATTTTTGGTGTGGGAACGTCACGCTTTCCATCGCAAAACCATGGAAACCCTAGAAACCCAGGGCACCCTGGAGGCAAGCAGGCTGTTTCTTGGCATGGATCTCCACTGCAAGGATGCAAGGGCCTTGGAAAGCCGTTTCGAGGCTTTTCGAACATGGCGCGGCACACGAAAGTGGCCAAGGACGGACCGAGGAGGCAAGGATGCCAGGGTACCCTTGGGAAAAATGCCTGTCCCTGCTATGCGGGTTGACTGTACCCCACCTCTTCAGACCCCGTCGCGCCGTGAAACAATCACGACGGGAAGGAGCGACCGTTGTCGGCCTTCCGCGGACCTTACGGGGCCCGGGGACGGTCACATAGCAACTCGGAACGAAAACCGGCCCTGGGGAAGGAGTCGGGACCTTCGCGGGTCCGCATGGTGCACAAGTCACGACGCAGGGGTCAGGGTCCCCTCCCTTCTGGCCGATATCGGACGTCGTGCCTTGGCATGAGGGATGAAGGTCCTGATGTAAACGGATCCTGGAACAATGGAAGGGCCGCAGGACCAGCTTTACATCCTGAGTCGCTTCTTGACGGTCCCGAGGCCCACAAGGGGCGAAACACGTCCATCCCCCGTTCGTCCACAACCCATTCCCCTACTGCTGACGCGTAAGATCACAACTCCCTCAGAAAAACACCACAAGAGCCCCGGTCCCGTCTTGGCGCCCCAGGGTTCCATCCGCGAGGGCCCTGGGGCATGCATGGCTTTCGAAAATTCCTGACACATTGCACTGTTGCTGCCGCGTGTCGTTCGTGCCGCCCTGCGATCTTCACGGCGGCGCTTCTGCGGTCGGGCTGTCCCTCGGCCGACGCGCAGACGTCGCGCCCCGACGGGGGACCACGTGGCCGACCATAGCGCGCTCCGAGCGCCCGCGCCCAGCGCGCTCGGGGAGTCGCGCCTTCTCGCGCTCGAACGCCCGCGCAGGACCCCGGCGGCATTGACTGCTGCCCTCGTCGGCCATCCTGCGGCGGCAAAGGCGGCCTCCCGTTGGAAAAAAGCACACACTGTTGGAAAAAACACACACTGTTGGAAAAACACACACTGTTGGGAACAAAACACAATTGGAAAAGAAAAAAAAAAAAAAAACTGTGTGTGCTTCTTGTCCAACAACTATGTGTGTGTGTCTGTTTTCCAACAGTGTTTGTTTGTCCAACAGTGTGTGTGTTTTTCCTACGTGTGTTGTTTGTGTGTTTCTTTCCAACAGCCGCCATGGAGGCTTTTGGGACCTCCTCCTCGCTGGGGCCCTGGCTGGAGAGACTGCGGCGGGCCTGCGCGTGCCAGAGCACAGCAGTCTGACGTCGGGCATGTCCTCCTGCAGGCGGGCTTTGGAACAGAAATGAAAAATACTCATAACATGCTCAACACAAATAGCCAAAAGAGCACGACTAGTGTCGTTTCCTGACTGTTATTTTACTATTCTGGAGTATTCCTCCTATGGAAGGACGTGCACGATTTAAGAGCAGCCCTCCCCCCCCTCCGACGCTGAGGGGCAACGAAGGGGGGGACTGGCATAGGGGGGAATGCATCGACCTGGAATCGGTGATACATCGCCCATAGATCGGCGATAGGCCTCCGACAGTAGATCCGCACGTTCCTGGGCAGGCTGGGCCCATCGGGCCCCCTATCGGCGATCAGTGGCGATTGGGGGTCGATACGCCCCCCCCCCACCTCTGCCTATCCCCAAATGGTTTTCGGGCCATAACTCGGCACTCCGGCGGCCGTTTGGAACGATTCCAGCACCCCCGGAACGCCCTCGACGAGGCGCAGCTGTTGGAACGCATCCTGGGGCCGAAGAAGCCGCCGCGAACGCACGAAAACGACCGACTACCTAGAACCTCGAACCGTTGCCCCCTATCGCTGCCCCCCCCCCCCCGACGCCCTCGCGCCGTCGAAGGCTCACGGCGGCCCTCGGCCTTCGGGGCCCGAGCGCAGTCGACCCGCGGGGGCCCCCCTATTGAGCCCGGGTGCGAGAGGAGGAGGAGCAGGAGGAGGAGCAGGAGGAAGAGCAGGAGGAGGAGAAGGAGAAGGTGGAGCGAGAGGAGGAGGAGGAGGAGGAGCGAGGAGGAGGAGGAGGAGGAGGAGGAGGAGGAGGAGGAGGAGAGGAGGAGGAGGAAGAGGAGAGGAGGAGGAGGAAGGTGGAGGAGGGGGAGGAGGAGGAGGGTGGAGGAGGAGGTGGAGGAGGAGGAGGAGGAGATGCGCCAGTTGCGCCGCCTCCCCCCCAGAAGTCGACGCCCCGACCTCACGCGGAGCGCGTCCTGGCGAGTTATGGTTTGAGGCGGGCGGAGCCGTGGACGTCTGGGGCCCGGAGGGAGGCCCCAAGGGCGCAGAAGACGTCCCGATCGCCCGCCCTTGCTCGGGGCGCGCCAAGCTGGGCTGGACGAGGGGTGAGGGCACCTAAGAAGAAGGCAGGAGGCTCCTTCTTTTCTCAACGCGACCACGCAGCAGTGCATCCCCAGAAGGAAGCGTTTGGCCCCTGAGCTTCCCGAGCGAACCGTGCAATCGCAGATGCGCGAAACCGAAGGCAGGGGGCTTCTTGCAGGCCCTCCTGCCGCTGAGAAGCCTCCTCAGAGGCCTCCGACACCCTCTAAGGACCCTCCCTTCCTAGAACACAAAAATGCCACCCCCTTGCCCCACGTGTCCTACGCGTCGTCGACTTCCTCCCCTTCTTTCCTCCCTCTCCACGTGAAGCCGAGGGACCCGGGCCTTGCCAGTTCCCGCACTCGTCGAACGCCCGCACCGCCTCCCGCAGGTCCTCCAGCGCCTCGCTGGGGTCCTGCGACACTCGAAGATCGAAGGTATTATTTCTGGACGCGCTCGGTCCTTTTCGGGCCTCTGGGTGCCTCCGAAGCCTCCTGGTGACTCCTCGAAACGTCGGGGGACCTCTGGTGACCCTCAAATCTATCTCGTCACGGAGAAAATGTCACGGCTGGTTTTTCCTCCATGTGGGCCTCCAGGGGCCCGCTTCGGAGTCTGGGGCCGCCAAAAAAACTTACCGAGATGAACAGCCGGCCACCTGGGGAGGAACGGGCAGAGAGGTCCGGCGGTGTTGGGCGGGCACGTCACGAAACAGAAAGCAGTCTCGGATGTCCAGACAGGTAGGGGTTGGAGGTCGCTGGGGGGGCAGCGTTGTTTCCAGGGCCAGATCCCAATACGCTCGGCCGGCGCACTTGATCCGTCAATAGCACTGCACACGGCCCCCATTCGCGAGAAGCTCCGTGCGCAGGCCTGCCCTTACCGACGATTGGGCTGCTTCGTTGTGATTCTACCCTTCGAGCATTACCCTCTCCTTCGTCGCGAGTTTCAGGGTAGGGGGCGGCAGCATACAGGAGCCATGGAAGAATATCAACGAAAAGTACACGATGCCCAACAACAACTGTTTTCCAAAACCGATAGCGGTCGCTGTTGGTCAGGCGACTGAATGTTTGTGTCACCCATAGAAAAACGTCCGCGGTGACAACGGAAGCGAGTGCTGTTCAACATGGACAAGAACTGCTGTCAGTCTTCGTCCCCGTTTTTCCCGTATATATCCATATCCGTTTCGACCGTATCTGCAAAACTCTGGGCCAACAAATTTCGGGCCTGGGAACTCTCGTAGATCGTCCTGGCCCGAAGAACACAAGTGCTGCGAAAAGATTGTATCCTGAGCCTGAGATGCCTCGCGACGTGAGAACATGGGATCCGTAGAAGGTACGACGGAAGCGAGGCGAAGGGGAAAGGGAAGGGGACAGGAATGAGGACGGCGGGATGAAACGAAACAGAAGTGGAATGAGGACGACGACGACCACGACGGCGACGACGACGACGCGACGACGACGACGACGACGACGCCGGCGACGACGACCACCATCACGACAACGTCCACAACCACGAGCACGACCACGACGACCACGACCACGACCACGACCATGACCATGACGACCAGGACCAAGACCCAGGCCACGAACAAAGACAACTACGGCGACGGCGACCCGCTGCCAGAATCCGCTCAAACTCTGTCCTCGGACCTCTCCCCGGGTCCATCATGGGTCGTTTCCATCTCGGACGAATTTCAAACGGCCAGGGGGGGTCCGAGACGGGCCGCGTGAGTCCAAACAACGACGACGACGACGACGACGACGACGACGACGACCACGACGGCGACGACGACGACGACGGCGACGACGACGACGACGACGACGGCGACGACGACGACGACGACAACGATGACATCCGCGGCGGCGGCGGCGTCGGCGGCGAGGACCGACGACGACGACGACGACGACGACGACGACGACGACGACGACGACGACGACGACGACGACGGCGGCGGCGGCGGCGGCGGCGGCGGCGGCGGCGACGACGGCGGCGACGACGACGACGGCGGCGGCGACGACGACGACGACGACCACGACAACGGTCGCGACCGGCGGCCTGCATCAGGCACGCTTCAGCCGCCAGCTGCAGGCTGCGGCCCACCTCGCGGGGGGGCGGGGGGGGGGGACGGGGCGGGGCGGGGCAGCCATCGCGCGCCGCCCCCGCGCTTTTGCGCGCCGCCAGCCTGGCCACCGTCCTCGCCGCCCGCCTCAACCTCCTCTCATTACAAATCGTGTTTTCACGAAGGGCAATCTTCATGTCAGCGATATGGCTCGCAAAACGGTTCTTATTGCTATACCCAACGAAGGCCCCAAACACTGTTTTAGCATACTGTGTGGTGCAAGTCACGCGGTGGAGTTTATGTGGTCCAGTGTCTGTGGTATAAGCTATGTGGCGCACTCTATGTTGGGAAATACACGTGGTGCAGGCTGCGCAGTGCAAATTATACGGTGCAAACTATGTGATGCAATCTACGTGGTGCAATTTATGTTGTGTAATTGACGTTGAATTCCTCGCGCGCGACCACCTCCCATGCTCGCGTAATCCTCCCACCCGCACACCCGCAACTTGGCATACAAAGCCCAAGCGGCGGCGATTCCAATGGCTGTTTGGCGCTGGCTGGTGCATAGCTGCGGCAGTGATAGCCCGCGCGCGCTCGCACGCACAACGGCCAACTAGTTTGGCGCGACCGACGCGACCGCGGTGGCGCTGACCGCTGGGCACTCCCCAAACGCGTTACGCAACCAGCGCGAGCGCGCGGACACTTCAGTGCGAATCGGTGACTTGGGCGGGCGCGGAATCATGGCGACGTCCATTACGGTAGACACGACGATGACACTAGCAAAGATGGTGACGAACATGACGATGACGACGGCATGGCCCATGACGGCGCCGATGCTGACCACGCCCATGACGATGATGGTGTCCTCGCGTCGGTGATGAAAATCTTGTAAACATTTCGACGTGCGCGCGCGGCCGACGCGCGCGAGTGACCCGCATGGTATCATTTGGCAAAGGTCGCGCCCCCCCCCCCCCCGAACATACGTGCAAGGGCGTGCGAATGATTTCACGCGCACGCGAAAACCCTGTTTGGTCGAGCCTGGCACTTCTCAGAGGGCACTTCAATGCGAGCCAGTGGCGTGGGCGGGCGCGATATCATGGCGACGTCGATTACGGCAGACACGACGACCATAGTAGCGATGATGGCGACGATGATGACGATAACGACGGCATGGCCCATGACGACGCCGATGCTGATCAAGCCCATGACGATGATGGTGTCCTCGCGTCAGCGATGAAAGTTTTGAAAAGATTTCGTGCGCGCGCGGCCGACGCGCGCGATTGGTCCGCATGGATTTCTGTGAGAGGGATCGTGACCCCCAGCTCGCGCCCAAGGGCGTTTGGATAATGTCTACATGCGGCGCGAGAAACCCGCTGGGTCGCATTAGGTGAACATTTGGAAACCTATGCTTTATTCCACCAGAATTCGCAGGAGCGGGCGCGCCTTTTTCGAAAACTGATGTTGCAAAACCGTGTGCTCTCACATGTTGTATTCAGACATTCAGTTTTGAAATCCTTCCAGCAAGTTCGGCTTTGGAAAGATTTCGGCATGCGCGCGCGACGACGCGCGAGTGCGCACGTCGTCTCATTGTTTGCCTCGGAACCTGGCGACAGCACGCTCATCGTGGCGTTCGAACGGTTTCGGCATGCGCGCGCGACGAGCACGTCTGGTCGCGTGTGATGAACACGTTGAACAACCCATGGCTTTCTTGAGAAATCGCAACAGCGCGAACGCAGGTTTGTTTGAAACCAGCTGTTGCGACACAGTTGGTTGTTAATGTACTTTCGGGACACTCGATTCTGAAATGATCACGAAACCTACGGCGGTTGAAGGATTTCCGCGTGCGCACGCGACGACGCGCGCGCGCACTTCGTCCCATATGTCGCAAGGGATTCTACAAAGAGAATGAAGATTTGCTTTAACCGAATGCGCTCCCATACTGTCATTTTGCAAAGGATGATTGGGTCGACAAGCGTCTGCCTAGGATTGTACGAGTTCATATTTAAGATGTACAGGTGTGCAGAATCAAGCACGACGAACAATACGAAGAAAGGGGCAATTAAGCCCGTGGCGGGGAGGTGGGTAGATCCCAATACTCTTTTAGAGGAGAGGGTATATGTGTTACGAGCTACTTGGTGCTATCTACGGGGTGCAACATGTGTGGTGCCATCTACGTAATTCATCAATGCGGCGCAATCTACGTACTGCAGTCAATGTGGCGTAATCCACGTGGTGCAATCTACGTGATGCGATATATGTGGTGCAGTGTGAAGGTGCACACTACGTAATGCAACCAACGTGGCGCAACCCATGTGGCACAATCGCTGCGATGCAGTTGACGTAGTGCAATATATGTGATGCCATTCACTACCCTGCACTGCGCTTGACCACCTCCACTGCTCTCGTAATCATCCCACCCAAGCACCCGCAACTTGGTTTGCAAAACCATGCGGTGGCGATTGCGATGGGTGCTGGACGGTGGCTGGTGTGCGGCCGCGCCGACCCAAGCACGCGCGCGCAGTGGCCAACCAGTTTGGCGAGACCGACGCGGCCGCGGTGGCGCTGACTGCTGGGCACATCCCAGCGGGCACTTCACTGCGAGTCGGCGGCTTGGGCGGGCGCGGTACCATGGCAACGCCGACGACGGTAGACACGATGATGCTAGTAGCGGTGCTGGCGACGATGTTGACAACGACGACGGCGCGGCCAGTGCGGGCGCCGATGTTGATCACGCCGACGACGATGACGGCATCCTCGCGTCGGTGATGAAGGTTTTGAAAAGGGTTCGACATGCGCGCGCGCGTCCGACGCGCGAGTGGCCCGCGCGGCATTCTTTGACACGGATCGTGCCCCCCCGGCGCGCGCGCAGGGGCGTGCGAATGATGTCGGCATGCGGCGCCAGAGGCCGGTTTGGCAGAATTCCATGGATATGCTAAGACAGCGATTGTTTTCTCGAGAGTTCGCAAGAGCGCGAGCGCATGGTTTTTTTAAAACTGATGTTGCGAAACCATGTATTTGTACATGTTTTCTGGACACTCGGATTTGAATTTGCTACGAAACCAAGATTTTGACGGATTTGAGCACGCGCGCGCGACAACGCGCGCGTGTGCACTTCGTCCGATTTTTGGCAAAGGATTCTCGCGACGGCACGCGCGCAAGGGCGATCGACGGATTTCAACATGCGCGCGCGAAGCCCGTCTGGTAGAATTTAATGAAAATGTTGAAAATCGATGCTTGTCTTGAGAATTCGCACGAGCGCGCGCACAAGCTTTTTTGAGAATCCGTGTTGCGAAACCCCGTGCTTTAGGTGTTTGTAGGACAATCGATTTTGAAATCCTTACGATACCGATGGTTTTGAAAGGATTTCGGCATGCGCGCGCGACAACGCGCGCGCGTGCACTTCGTTTCATTATGTTGCACAGGATTCTTGGCAACTTATGATGTTTTATCAACGTGTGCGCGCATTGTATTTCTTGCAAAGAATAACCGGGGGAGGGGCGATACCGTTTCCCCTGGGGTGGTATGAATTCATATTTAGGATGGAAGACGGGGCCAATACGAAAAGGGAAGGAGATAATCCCTGGGGGGGAGTTTATTCTTCTTTTCTAAGACAAGAGAATCTACGTGGTGCAACCCGCCTCGCAGAACCTGAAATTGTCAACTCCAATGCTCGCATAATAATCCCACCCTCACACTCAGAACTTGGTTTGCAAAACCCACGCGGGGGCGATTGCGCTGACTGCTTGGCACTGACGGGCGCGCTTGTGGGGCCTAGCACGTGTGAGGGGGGCGTCGAAATGGAGGTGAAACTGCACGCGGACCCTGCCGTTGGGGCCTTCGGTGGAGCACCCTATAGGGCCACGAAACGTGAGGGGTGCGCCGGCATGGAGGTGGAGCTGCATACAGACCCTGCCCCTGGGGCCTTCGGTGGAGCACCCTATTGGATTACGAAATGTGTGAGGGGTGCGCCGAAATCGAGATGGAACTGCATGCGGACCCTGCCACTGGGGCCTTCGGCGGAGCACCCTATGGGGGTACGAAACTTGTGAGGGTGCGCCGAAATGGAGGCGGAACTGCATGCGGACCCCGCCACTGGGGCCTTGAGTGGAGCACCATGTGGGGCCACGGAGCGTGTGAGGGGGGCGCCGAAATGGAGGTGGAACTGCATGCGGACTTTGCCAATGGAGCCTTCGGTGGAGCACACTATTGGGTCACGAAATGTGCGAGGGGTGCGCCGAAATGGGGGTGGAACTGCACGCGGACCCTGCCACTGGGGCCTTGGTAGAGCTCCCTATAGGGTCACGAAAAGTGCAAGGGGTGCGCCGAACTTGAGGACATGGAGAAAGAAGGGAGGAGGAGGAGAAGGAGGAGGAGGAGGAGGAGGACGAGGAGGACCAGGAGGATGAGGAAGAGGAGGAGTAGGAGGAGAGGGAGAGGGAGGAGAGGGAGAGGGAGGAGGGGAGAGGAGGAGGACGCGGGGCGCTGTCTCTTCAAAACGAGGACCCAACACCACAGGATGGTTGGGAAAAAAGAAGCGCGAGGCCTCAAGGAATATAATGATTACGCCTGGCTGGCGCAGCGGCAACAAGAGATGCGTGAAGAGATGGAAAAAGACCATGGGCCCGCAAGGGCACTGAGTATGCGCCAGCCAAGCGGTGAAGTCCCTCTCCTTCGCACCCGTCGGGGCTCACCGCCAGCCATGCGGTGAGCCCCGACGGGACCGACTCTTCATCCTGAGCTGTTCTTGTTTGCGGTCCCGAGGCCCCGAAACAGGAGCACCAGAAACCAAAAAACACCCAAAATGCATGTCCGTCCACATCTGTTATCGAAGCGACAGGGTCTGGGAGGGGGAGCAGGAGGAGGACACTGGCCACCAGGAATGGGCCTTAGGAAATCGAACGACACGCCAGCTGCGCCCTGCCGAGGGATGTCCGATAAGGCCCCGGAGATTCTGCTGGAACCTGATCAACTGCTGAAGCCTGGCGGATGGGGAGGAGGAACAAGGAGGAGCGCACGTAGCTTGGAGGCCAAGTCGGCTTTCAACTTGTGATAACCATGGAAGCTCAAAACGACCACGCGGAGGAGGAGGAGGAGGAGGAGGAGGAGGTGGTGCTTCCCACCTTACACCTCTCGGCAAGTCGGTGCCGCATTTGGCCGCGAAACAGCAGCAACAACAACAACAACAATCAAACGGCCCACCCCGTTGGCGTCCCCGGCACTCCGAGACATCTCCGCGGCGGACCTCGCGGCCCCCGCGGCCAGCTCCAGGTCCTCCGGGCTAGGCGAGGCAACGGAATCTAGGTGGAAGAAACACCCCAAGTCTCACTCAAACACGCACGTCTGGAACCCCCCCAAGAGCGGTACCACAACAGGTCCAACATCGAGACCCCCCACAATCTTGTTTGACGAGGCCCATTTGACCCCCTAAAAAAAAAGTAGCCCACCCTCAATAGTTGTGAGATCCAGAACGAAATAATTGGTTCACATCGACAATCTCGTGCATTCTTTCGGTCGTCCGCTGGCACCACAGCGCGCGCGCAAAGAGGTGGCTGAGTCCGTGCTGCGACGCCACTGGCTCGTGACGGCCCCGAAGGCCTTTGCCCTGAATGCAAAGTATTTTCAGCGGTGAGTGCGACCAAAGACCCCGTCGGGCCGTGGAAAGTCACAAGTTTTCGGGCGTCTTTGCGCCATTCTGAGTCTCCTGCGGCGCCCTCGTGGCCACGGCTGGGTTCACCTCGGAAGCTTGCCCGGAACCCACCCTGGGAGAGGTCCAAGGGGCGATTTCGAGGAGGATCTAAGCCCCCTCGCATCGTGAAAACAAACGACGACATTGTGCAAACAGTTATCGGCCTCCGGGTGCCATTGTCGGAACCATCTGTGTGGGCCCCCATTGAACACCTCTTGGGAGCCTGCCAGGGGCTCTCTTGTCCTGGGGATCGTACCAGTGGGCCGCCGTGGACGACGCGACGATCCTGCCGAG